GCGGAAGGCACTGTTGAAAGACAGGACAACGTTTACAGTGGACCCCGCCACAGGGAAGATGAAAGGTGAGAAGACTTGGTTGATTGACACAGATGGGACCGCGCTGCGCCGTGCCTTCATTGGCATTGTGGACGAGAAGGGTAATAACATTATTAACGCCACCCGGACAAGTAGCAACAAGGTTCCCGAAGTCTGTAGCCTTCTTGGCATTGAGGCGGCACGCTACAAGATGCTGCATGAGTTGCGTGAGGCTTACCTTGCCTACGGTCTTAACATCAACTACCGTCATTACACCATACTGGTGGACACGATATGTCAGCGGGGTTATCTGATGGCCGTTTCACGCGTTGGTATTAACCGCTCGGAAATGTCGGGACCTCTGATGCGCTGTTCGTTTGAGGAAACTGTGAAAGTTCTTATGGCCGCCGCGGCTTTTGGTGAGCGAGATCCTGTGCGTGGTGTATCTGCAAACCTTGTGCTTGGTAATCAGGCTCGTATTGGCACGGGTCTCTTTGATCTCGTGTTGAATATGGCGGCGCTGCAGCAGGCGGTGCCTCAGGAGGATGCCGTGGCGCCCGGCAAGGAAGTGAATGTCTACCACGGCCTTGCCTCAACGCAGAACCTACCGTCATCCATGCCCTACCGCGCAAAGGATCATGAGGCCACACCGTTTGTAAATGACGCGAGCCTTTTCTTCCGTGAGGGTGTTGGCGGCAGCTCCTCCGCTGCTCCTTTGACGGCATCAACACTTTATGGTGGTATGCATGAGGCGAGTGCGGTGCACTTCAGTCAGGCGTACCCTGCGATGGGCATGTTGGATCAGCGAGTGCGGGCCTCAAGCGTCTCGCAGCCATACAGCGTCATGTCGTCGGCGAGCGTATACAACCCTGCCTCTATGCAAGTGCCCTCGGCGTTGCCCAGCAGCGTGGACTACAGCGAGGCCTCTTCCTTCCACATTCAGTCCAGCATGGCAATGCTGTCGGTTCCCTCTTCACCGCAATTTGAAGCGCCACAGGCATTTGGTGGCGGTCGATTCGGCGGTCTCTCTCCGGCATACGTGCCCTCCGTTATGTCGAGTGTGGCGACACAGCCGTATCAATGCGTAGGCGACTCGGAATCCCAGCAGTCCGCCTCTTATGTGCCGACTCTGTCGCCCGCCTACTCTGCCTACACGGCACGGCGTTCCGTGGTGGCGTCACGTGCCAGCGCCTCTCGTGTTGATCAGCAGTCGCAGCAGCAGAAGGAGGACGACTCTGCAAGTTACTTACCGAAGTCGCCGGGGTTGCACGGGTTACCGCCTCCAGTTGGTGAGTTCTCTCTAACAGAAGATCCGGAGGAGGAGGAGGAAAGGCACCAGTAGTGGCAGTGGGTATCAACACCAAGGGAAGTGAGAGGATAAGAAAAGCACGGGGAGCAACAGAATAGAAAAACACAAAGAGAAAAAAAGACCAAAGAGAAAGAAGATGGAGGTTAAATATGCCTGTGAACAGAAATGAGTAGGAATGACGGCAGGAGGAAGAAAGTGTCGAAGAGAAGAAGATAGAAATAAAAGGATGCATGTTTTATAAGAAAGATCCTCTTTTATTTATTTGTGTGTGTTGTTAACTGTAGGAGAAGAGAATTTGATGGGCAGAGTTTTTTTGTTTTTCTTTCCGCTTACGTTTTGTTTTTATTTTTATTTTTTTTTGACTGCTTCTTTTCTTCTTTCTGTGTGTGTGTGATGTCCACGGACACTGACTGGACGGCACACGCGCACATGGAGGCCAATTTATTACAGTCACTTACGCCGTACTTTTTTACTTTTTTTTTTCTTTTGCATTTTTTTTTTTGTGTGTGTTTTGTCCGATTGTTTTCAGGCAGTAAGGTTCTTATTATTATTATTATTATTATTATTGCCATCCTTACAGCTACTAGGCGGTTGCGTCCGATTGCGCTAATGAGCCGTGATGAGGATGTGGCGAGTAGTGACGCCATTCTAACGGTGTTGCAGCATCTTCGCGGCAATCCGGTGCTTAGGCAGTACCTGCACGGCCATGAGGGTAGTTGCGGTCGCGACGGCATGACGCTGAGCGCACCGAGGGCGAAGGGAGCAGTGACGGCTGAGGGAACGTTGCCGCGACGGGAGGATCGGGAATCCCTCGTGGCGTTTCAGGCACGGTGGAGCCGGGAGGAGGAGGACCGGCTGCAAAACTCAATACAGGCACAGCGAGCCTTTCAGCAGGCACTACAGTCCCTGGCGACCTGCCGCGAAGTCCCTGGTGCAGTTACGGAAGGACGCAAGACGACAGTGGTTCCTTCGTCTTTTTCTGCTGCTTCTGTGGGGCGTGTGGTGTTCTCATTTGAGCCGCAAGACGCAACGAGGACGGAGGAGAAGACTTCTGTGGATGACATACAGGATGCAGCCTTGACGATGCAAGAGAAGTTGGCCCTCAGGGATCACACTATTCAACGGCTGCAGAAAGAATTAGAAGAAACACGTGCCAGGTATGAGGCTGATATTGCTAGCATGCGGGCAGCACACATGCAGTCGAAACAAGAGACAGGGCGGGAGATGGCGGAACTAAAGATGCGACTGGCACAATTGGCTCTTGCGGGGAATTCGGCTACCAACGCATGTGAGAACTCAGGAGAGTTCTTGGAGGCACTCGAGTTTAAGGAACGTTTGCTGCAGGAGATGCATGACGCGTTTGAGCATGCGTCAGAGGAGTGGAAGAGCGACACCATGCGTACGTTGGCCAGTTTGCGTTTGGCAGCAGAGGATGAAGTTTGTGGTATTGTTAGTAGAGCAGAACAACTTGTGGGAGATCTGCAAAGGGCACTTGACGCATTGACGACGCCTCGCAATGACACCGCCGCTTCCTTCACTGCGGGAGTGGCGCGGCGTTTGTTGCAGGATGAAGAGGGGCTGTTGTTGTCGATGGAGACAAAACTCCGAGAACACGTGCGTATGACGGTGAAAAATGCCGTGCGGAGTCGTGTGAAGGACATTCTTCGGCCACTTGTGGAACGTCAGCTGCTGAGTCACAGTGAGCTGCACGATCCACGCCGCCTCAGTCCTCTTCACATCGTTTCCTCCGTGCGCACGGCGAGAGGAGCATTGTCCCCAACACCCTTGGCATTATCGACGTTACTGTCACCGATACCGGCTGAAGGCCGCAGTGGGGAAGCGCCGGCAATTTTTCAGCCGATGACGTCACGACAGGAGCAACGAGCCCCGTCGCAGCACCGCGAATTGTCTGCAGGAGGTGCTGCTGCGCCTGCGGTGCTGGATGAGTTATCGCGGGGCGTTAAGGCACATGACATTAACCGCCCGTCCGATGGCATCAGCAGGCCGTCGTGGCTGAACCGTTTCTGCCACTAACTCCAGCGGAGGTATGTTTTTCTCGTTGTTGTTGTTGTTGTTTCTTGTAACTTCTTGTTGCTCCCTGTGGATTTCAAATGCACAGACAAGTGATGACGCGAAAGGGGGCGGTCGGAGGAATATATCCACCGCGCGTGTGTGCGCGCAGCTATCGCATCTGTGCAGTGCTTTACCGTTTGTTTGTTTTTGTTGTTGTGTTTTTATTTCTATGCCTTTTATGTCATGTCTCTCTTTCTCCTTCTCCCTTCAATGACGTTCTTTGCGGGGCGTCTGCACCGATCGGAGGGGGGGGGGGAAGCCAAAGCAACAGGTGTGAAGCTAAATTTTTATTTGTGCGTAAAACTTTTCATTGTTGTTGTTTTTTTTTTTCTTTTTGAACGGCTGTTAAACAAACGCTGGCACACGCCCAGAGAGAAAAGAAAAAGAAAGAGAGAAAACAGAAAAAGAGAGAGAAGGATAACAAGGGAAAGGACGGAATAACAAATTAAGCGATGCGTGCAGCAATTTTTTTCTGTGCCCTTTTGGGCCTTGCGACACTGTCAGCCGTGCACGGCACGGTGTACTTCCACGAGGAGTTTAAGAGCATGGAACACTGGACTACCTCAAAGCACCGCGATGACTTTGGAAAGGTGGAGATTTCAGCGGGTAAATTTTACGCGGATGCGGAGAAGAGCAAAGGTCTCCGTCTGACGGAGGATGCGCGGTTTTACGCCTTGTCTACTGCCTTCCCAACGCCCATCAACAATGAAAAGAAAAGCCTTGTTGTCTCCTTCTCTGTGAAGCACGAGCAGGATCTGAAGTGCGGCGGCGGCTACATCAAGCTGCTCCCCTCGATGGATCCCGAGAAGTTTCACGGTGAAACAAAGTACTGGCTGATGTTTGGCCCGGACCGCTGTGGCTCACAGAACCGAGTGCACATCATCCTGCACTATAACGGGGAGAACCGCGAGTGGTCAAAGAGAATACGCTTCCCTGAGGATAAACTCACGCACGTGTACACGTTGCACATTGCCGCCGACAACTCCTACGAGTTTTTTCTGGACGGCGAGTCGAAGGCGAAGGGCCAGCTCGAAGAAGACTGGAGCCTGCTGCTGCCACGCGAGATTGTCGACGAGACGGACAAGAAACCAGAGGACTGGGTGGACGAGGAGACGATGGATGACCCGGAGGACAAGAAGCCGGAGGACTGGGACAACGAACCCGCAATGATCCCGGACGCGGATGCGAAGAAGCCCGATGACTGGGACGATGCGGAGGACGGTCCGTGGGAAGCTCCGATGATCCCGAACCCGAAGTCGAAGGGCACATGGAAGCCACGTCAGATTCCCAACCCGGCGTACAAGGGCGTGTGGGAGCCGCGGAAGATTCCTAATCCAGACTTTGTTGAGGACTCTGAGCTCCACAAGGTTCCGGAGCCGCTCACACACGTTGGCATTGACGTCTGGCAGGTCGAATCCGGCAGCATTTTTAAGGACATTGTGATTGGCGATGACTTGAAGGAGGTGTTGGACTTGGTGGAGAAGACATATGGTGGCCTGAAGAAAGCGGAGGCGGATGCTCTTAAGGTCATGGAGGATATGGAGAAGGAAAAGAGGAAGAAGGAGGAAGAGGAGGAGAGGGAGAAGGAAAAGGCGGAGGAAGAAAAGGATGAAGAAGAGTTGGAAGAAAAGGGTGACGGTGATAAGGAGGATTTGTAATATGAGCGCAACTCTGGACGGAAGGATTATAAATTGCACGCAAAAAAAAAAAAAAAAAAAGAGGAAGAAGAAAGGGAAGATAAACCACAAGCACATGAAAAATGAGGGAAATTGAGAGAAGGAGAGAATGAGCGTACAACACAGAAGGGGCTGGAGTTATTTTCTTCTTCTTCTTTCTTTCTTCCTTCTTTTTTTTTTGTTTTGTTTTTTTATGTCTTTGTATTTTGTGTTCTCTCGTTGTTGTTGTTGTTTTTTTTTTATGTGCGCTTTTATCTGAGAGAGAAAGAAAGAAGGAGGAAGGGAGTCTCTCTCTCTCTGCGTGTGTGTGTGTGTGCGGGTCAACTGCCTCCT